AAAAACCCCCCCCCCCCCCCCCGAAGTTATCAAAATATTAATCCTTTAAATATATCTATATATTTTCCTCTGATTTTGTGTTTCATTAAGAATATATTCAGGGTAAGCCTAAGTTTTTCATATTGCAAGCTTGCCGTGGAGATAGTTCTGACCCAGGTAGCGTACCTCAGGTAAATAACTGCAATGCTAATTCAAACTTAATTAAAATAATGATGATGATTATAATAATGATAATGATAATTAAAATAATCGCAGTCGGCCTTTAATTCTTAAGAATCAGGCCTTGATAGATATTTGATACTTAAAGCCTTAACACAAATCATTAATCGATCTGAGCTGAAAACTTCAGAATGGCGTATATTGAAATCAATGCCATGATCTCTTCTTTTTATTAATCTCAAGATTAATTTGATTTTAAGTTTGTATCTAGAAAAGAGTGTAAAATTCAGCCAATCAGAGTGGCGTATTAGAAACCGGGAAATTGAAATTTTCCGCACCATTTAATAAAGAAGTGAGATTAAGTTTTCCTACAACCGTTCTGTTCCTTTAAACCTCGGAGAATTAATCCCCATCCGTTCCTTACGAAATATCCAGAGACCTCTATAGTTTTTTTCTAAAGTTTGTTATGGGAGTTCCATGTCAGGTTTCCTTTCAGAGCTGGGAACTTTAGAATAGTGGATATCGGGATTAATGCTTGATCCACTCTTTTTCTTAATCTCCAGATTAAATATTGCTTGTTGTCCTCATGAATTTAATCTCCAGATTAATTAACAGATCGGGATTAAGGATATCACATTCTAAAGTTTCCAGCTCAGATCTATCTATTATTAATCGGTTATAGCCCAATTGATTTCAGAGAACGGTTGCTGTAAATCGAGTAGAGACTGATGCTATACCAATCAGTCCACAGCAGAAGGATCCATCTATTGAGGATATTCTTATAGGTAAAAAAACCAGGGACCAAATTTAATAAATTGGAGAGGTCGCTGAACTACCTACCTTGAATCACCGATTCAAAGCCTTAGTTTGGTCCCTAAGTCTTTAACTTTGAATGTATGATTTAAATTTGAACCGGCAGTAGATTAAATCGGTTCTAAGAGTGCTTATCAAAGTTGGTCATACGTTATGTAAAATGTAAATATGAAATAATAGTTATTAAAGTAGGTGGTCGTTTTGATCCAAAATATTTTTTACGTCTCTGTTTTTTTGGAGAAAAAATGGATTCTTTAGGCAAAGCTAAAGTAATATTTTCTTACATCGAAAGATTTTATTAATAATAATAATAATAATTGTAGCCTTTTCTACTCTACCTGGCTACGTGGCTAACCGGGATATATACCGAGGAACCTGGTTTATTGAGAGTCTTGTTCAGATTTTCATGGATAGGGCTTTTACTGCAGATATCAGGTACAAGAGGAGCAAGCAGGGGTGTGTAGTTTCTCCCCCCCCTTTAAAAAGCTTCCCCCCCCCATTTTCAAAAATAATGGAAAAATGACCTTATGGAGTCCAATTTTTCTCTTTTTCCTAGTCAACAAAAATAATTATGAAAAACTGTACAGTGCACACCCCTATGATGCTCATAAAAATAGACGAACGGAAATTAATAATGAAATTTAAAAATAGGGATATGTTGGACCTAGTCGCTAGAAGGTTAAGATGTTATGAGAGTGAGATTGGAACAAAACAATCATTTGAGTACAGAGGAAAATATTTCTATTAGAATGATCAAACTTTGTTTTTGGTTAATTTTCCAATACTAGGCTTCCATTTTCGATTTTAACTTAAAATTGTTGCTCTATCTGCGGAATTTTCTCTTCTTAAATTTTCAAACAATTAAAAAAGAAATTCGGGGATTAATCGATTATTTTGTAGACTATCGATATTTTTAAGGCAAATTTTTTAAATTATGACTATCCATAAACCTTCCCTGGGGTCATGTGAGGTCCCACAAAACAGTGTGGCCGTGTTTTGATGTTTATCGGATACAACAAACAAAAAAACAAACCATCTAATAGAAAAGCAAAGTAAAAATATAGATGAAATGGTTATAGTAATTGAAACTGAATAAAATTATGGAAAATGGAAATATTTGTTCAGTTTACCATTTTACAAAAAAGCTTTACTTTAACCCTGGAGTTCAAGAGGCTTGACGAGGCTTGACGAAGGCTTGACGAAGGCTTGACGAAGGCTTGACGAAGGCTTGATTAAGGCTTGATGAAGGCTTGAAGGAGGGATGATGGGAGTTTGATTGTGGCGTTTGGAGTCTTTTAGAGGCTTCATGTAGGCGGCACGGAATTTATAACACAGCTAAAGATATCTTAGAAAAATTGATTAAACTTATATTTATTTTATTTCAATGGGCAATTAATTTGTATGACCTGATTTCCTTAGTTTTATTCAGTTTATTCTCCGATCTTTTATCTGTATTATGAAAGACGAGCATCTACTATACCACATTCTCATTGGATTTACTACGTAACCGAACCAGCAATAACTCTTAATATTCATACCCATTTCGTGTAGTAATATATGATTATTTCACAAAATGGATGCGAATAAAAAGAATTATTCAATGTAAATTGATAGATAGATAATTCATTCAATTCTGGAAACTAAACCTATTGTTAATTTATTATCAAAATTATGACACTAAAAAATTCCTTATTTAAAAAAAATTAACCAAAAACATTTTTCTTTAAGCCTAAATCATATTGATCAACAGTATAAAGGAAATATATGAAACATGTTTTGCCGCCCCCTCCCCTCCCCCCATGAGTCCCCTTTCTACGCCCCTGATGAAGAAAAAAATAAGCATTTTCCTGTCCCTTATTGATTAACAGAATACAGGTGCAATACAGGTGCAAAGTTAGCACTATTTATCTCAATATTATTACACAATTTATTCCAAATTACTGGAGATCAGTGAGGTCCTTTCAGGTTAATGTAAGTTAATTAACAATTTAATTCTGGGAATTTATTCAAATCCTCCAAGAATGTGGTATAATATTACTAAGTGTTGGAAGTAAGTGTAATAATCAAAAATATTGTGAAAATATTGAAAGAAAACCCGTGGAATATAACAATAATTTTGATCATTACACTTTCTTCCTACGAATAATATACTTTTTACAAAAACAAACATCTATAAAATACACTGTAGGCGAGCTTTATTTATATTTTATGATCTCAATATTGAATACTAAAAATGATGAAAACTTAGTTGTGAAGTAGCTTTTCTATATTTACAAACATTTTCTACTCGAAGAATCAAACTTTCCAGATAAATTGAGCAATGTGCATTACGCATATTAAAATATACAAAGTATGTTTTTTATATAAAATTTGATTTACTATTTTCTACCGTAATACTCGATACTAATATTTATTTTTATATTCCATACTTATACTTGTATTAAAAACTGTGATTTACGAAAAAAGTTATTGATTGATTGATAGACTAGTAAAACATATTTATATATAATATATATATTTCAGAGAACATGTGTCCTCTCTATCCGTTACATATACTTGGTAATTTAATCATCATTTATTTCCTTTGTGATTTTTTTTCCAAATCTTGAAAAATTATTAAAATTTGTTTTCGACTGTTGATTTAACACCTGACTATTTGTTTGATATTTTTTTATTTTGAAGTTTTGTATTGCTGTATGCTCATTCCTCTGTTCCTTGCTGTAGTTCAAGGAGCTGAAAACTTGGCTTCATGGAACCTTAACTTCTCCGTTCCTAGGTAGGTTTATTCAATGCGGATCCTGTAATGGATCCGGGTCCCCTCAAATCCGGATACAGGTCAGGAACACATCTTAAAGATTTACTGAAATTTAAAACTTACAAAAAAAAATTTTGTTTATTTTTCTGCTAAAGTTTGATGAAAAATGGCCATGGCGGGTTTTCCTTTAAGATTCAAGATTTCCTATAATCATAATTTTTGGAATTTTAACGAATTTTACGATCAAATCTTTTAAAAAAAATAATAAAATACTATATATATAAACAGTCTTGGTAATGGGGAAAACAAACTACGAGAGGAAACCAGTCAAACCTTTGATGTTCTCTGCTTCGACTGCCCTCAACTTGAGGTAATATATGTATTATGTATATTGTATATTGTGTAACATTTTCAAACAAAGTGCTTTAGAATATTTTTTCCCGGAGTAGTTGGAATAAACCTTTTTAATAAACACAGATATGGTGTCCAACGAAACATGACAGTTGGCGAATAGTTGAACATCTTCTTCCATATATTGTATTAAATATTCAAGAATTTTTCAGTTTATTTCGTTAAAAACATCTTTTCCTTAAATCTATTTTATTAATTTTATTATAATATGATTGCCATATATTATTTTTTTAAATTCTCTTTAGTATCAAGCAACTAAACTAATTATGGAAGAAGATATAACTATTTACCAACTGTCATGTTTCGTGGGACACTCTGTATCTCTTTAACAAACGTCATTATGGTATCAAACTATTTAGTCAATTAAATTTTATATGTTATAAAATAGTGAAAATATTTTATTGAACAAAATTGTCCCTTTTTCTTTGAGCAATTCTCCAAGGTGCTTAAATGCATTTTCGATTGGACTATTGGGAGAACTACAGGAGAGTTCCGGACGAACCGGGTTTTGGACTACCAAAGGTGGTCTGGGGATTCCACGATATTTTTTAAATAAATAGATAAATTTAACTATCTTAGGATGAGAAATATATGTTGGAGTTAAAGAATCAAGATCCTGGGATAGGAATACTCAGCTATCCGAAAACAGGAGTACAGCAGGTTCTTATAGTGTTTTTATTACATTCTAATGAAAGTTTTTTTTTGTATTTTTTACAACTGGAAAACAAAGAGTAGATCTCGTCCATTAGATTTACAAATTCTTTTTAAACTAAAAACAAAATCAATTTGATTCCTAATTTATTTTAAATGAAACCTTTTCCAATATTTTCATATTTTCTTTTTAAGATCTAAATATTTATTTACGTATCGAGGATATATTACAACTTAGTCTATATGGGTTTAACAGAAAAAACTATTTTACGATAATATCGTTTACATACATTAATTAAGAAGTAATCTATTAGGTTCCGGATACATTTTTTATCATTATTTTCTTATCAGACTTGATGTTACATTTAACATCGAGTATTGACGAATCAGCAGTTCAAGCGATAAAACAACTACATTTTATTCGATAGGATAGCATATTTGTATACAATGTGCCTTAGCAATACGATAGACACGGTGTGTGTTATCAATTATTAGAAAATGCTATAATTAACTTAGTTCATGCTTTCGCGAAAACATGCCACGGAGACGAGCTCTCTTTTTTCTATTAGAGAAGATTGATGTTGGCTTCATAATGAAGAACATTGACCGTTCTTCATTAGTATTGAGGCAACATAATAAAGGATTAAAGAAAGGAAAAAAATAATTATGAAGATGCGACCGATAACTTTTCACATAAACATGTACGGGAGCGCGTTTTCTTTTTTATGTTAAAGAAAAATATGTTAGCTTTATAACGAGAAACATTGACTGTTACTCGTTGATATTTTGGCTACATGTTATAGGATAAAAGAGGGACAATATAAAATCGAGGAACATTGATGGTTCCTCGTTAATATCGAGGCTGCATCATGTTCATCATATCTTGTGGAGTCATGGTTCCTCGGCCGTTTCTTTGCTGCGGTGGGATATGTCTCAATTATCCGCAGGTTCAAGAGGCGTTCCAGTTCAGTTCATACTGAATTAGTAAAAGAAAGCATTGGTTCTTACATTGAACTCAATGAAATCAGATTTTAAATCATATAAACTTTATTTAGTGTTGGATTATAAAAAAATATTTATAAAAACGCATTTGTAGGGTAAGTTTGGATTGGATAAATAAGAATTTTTGTGAGGAAAATATGGACTTAATATTGCGGAATTTATTTTTTTATTTTCTAGAAGTAGAGAAATTCAATTCGATTTAATTGGGTTAAACCTTTGCAGTCCAATGTGGTCCATGTTCACGACCTTCGCCCTCTGTATAAAATAAAAATAAAATTCAGTAACATAGACGAAATTCTGCCAGGCTCAGCCGGATCCCATGGAAATATATTTTTACCGTTATATTTTCGCACAAAAGTTCCGCTCCGAGATCAGTCCGTCAGTCCGCTAGCGTTCCGGTTTCGATTTATGCTAAATAATGTAAAAAATACTAATTAATAACATTTTCCAGGACGGAAAAGTTTTAATGACAGATCGATAATCCATAAGGAAGTACAGTCTTAATAGTTTCGAACAGCAGAGGGCTTGCAAAAATATGGAATTAAAGTATTGTGATCAATCAATTGTATCAATCATTCAATCATTCAGACAGTAGCGATTTAAATCATTAGCGAAAAACGATTTATACTGAAATATTGTCCTAATAAATGGAAAGTTAAGAATTTTTCACATTCAGTACAGTCAAATATACTTTGAGAGTGAGCTTGATTCAGACTTGAAACTTCAATCTAAGCTAAATAGGATTTGAATGTGGGGGATTTTCATTTTAAACAATGCAGACCGTTTTGAAGTAATAAACCTCTGTAATCTTACAAAACAAGTTCATATTTTCGATTCACCACCAAGTGTACCGTTGCAAATCACTTTTTGTTATCTCTGCATGGAGGGTTACTTGAAATTACGCTTACTGTCCCTTTACAACTCTAATTCTAGACGGGTCAACCTTAAACTCTAGATACCTGATTTGTCCCAGAAATGGACAACTTTTCCCGATTTTAAAGAGTTATATCTCAATGTGGTTTCCAGTAAAAAGCTGATTCGTCCAAAAAAGTTTTATCTTTGTGCTCCCACTTTACGAACGGGTACATTTTACAACCAATTCACCCTGAAGATTTAGTTTCTTAACGGAATGCTTAAAATGCTCAACCTTTACACGCAGCTTAGTCTACAAAAAGTGCTCTATTAGGTTTTGCACATTTTCATAGAGAGTATAAAGTTTTTTCTTTTCTTTTCTCATTCTTTCTGAAAAAGCGTTCAGAAATTAATAATTTTAAGAAAAGCCAAAAATTTAACAAATATTGATTAAATATTTTTTGATAAAACTCGTGGTTCTATTTTTAAAGTATTCATAGTTTTGGATATTAAGTAATCTTAAGATTTAACATTTGAGTTTTAAGATTTTTGTAAGAATGAATATTCATTTATGTGGTTTTGAAGATTTTGAATAAATAACTGTTTTAACATTTACGAAAAACAAGATTAGTATAAATGCAGGTTGAATCTTGTTTCTTAATCTTAATCTTAGGTCTTGAATCGAGTATAGGGTTTATCGAATCGTCTCCAACCTACACTGCAGTAGAATTTACACTCAATTCGGTGGATATCGAGTTCAGTCGCTTAAGCTAATCGTTTATCCACAAAAGTTTCGCTCTCTGAATAGTAAATACTGATGCCAAATCTGATACAGGATGAGTCTGGCTATCTTCAGCTGGATATTACTGGATATCCGGAGGATTTCAACATCAGTTTCAATGTGACCGGCACCTTCCTCGGGTTTAGCAAGATCTCTGCTAAAGTTGTTACTGCCAAAGACAAAACAGTTCAGGTATTAATTTATTTAAAAGATGTTTTTAAAGGGGTGAGGGGTGTATATTTTCTCAAAAAACTTTTTTTACTCCCTTTTGAAAATATGCAAAATGAATGAGGGGAGGCATATGTTTAATATGCACGAAGTTTATAAAAATATTTTCCAGGAGGTTGGAACCCCTGAGGATCTACGGCTTACTGTAACTAGAAGTATAGCAAAAAAGACCGCGAGCAAAATCTTTGGTTACTCCGTGGCTGTTCTCATCTCGTTCGCATACATCAATATGGGCTGCGCACTTGATCTAGACGTTATGAAGAGCGTTCTTAAAAGACCAATCGGTAAGATTTTGAAATACAATCTGAAATCTTTTCTTCATAAAAATGTAAACTCAACCGATTCCGAAATATTTGTCAATTCATTGGTAACAGACATAAACTTTAGAGTAAAAAATTTTTATTTCTTATTATTGTCTGTTTACTTACTGCTGTTAATTAGAATTCGTAGGACACTAGAAAGCGAAGTGACGACATTTTCTTATCAGGACCTGGGATTGGGTTTGTGACTCAATTCATGTTCATGCCACTGTGTGCTTTTGCGCTGACCTATGTTTTCCCTAGTCATATGCCTGAAATGAGACTCGGTCTCTTTGTTACAGGTACTAAAATAATTTGTTGCAGGACAGGGTTTGGAAGGGGGGGAGGGTGTGGACTGCGGGGGATATATATTTATGCACATGTGTTGACTATACGAGCTTAATTAAATAAGAAATATTGTTCCCAGTTATTAAATAATTATTATTTATTTACCGGTTTAACCATTACCTGTAATTGGGTAAAAGGATGGGTGGCATATTTATCAGAACTATTTTTAAACTGTAGGATGTCTTGAGCCGATTTATTGGAAGATTACCAAAAGTAACCCAGGGCAGCGGGTACAGCTGACGGTTGTTAAATTGTTACGTTTGTGACACTAGAATTTCTTTTTTACTAAACTGGTTGTCTTTACTTATCACACTGTTTCTTACTTGGAGGGTATGTATGTAAACTTGACCTTCCATTTATAGAGTGGTATGTTCTAATTACATCGGTACCCTTATTATTTTGACTATTCAAAAATGAATTAGAGATCGTTATTTAAAATTTTATTAAAAATTGTGGGTTCTCTACTCAAGTGACTTGCGTATAATACATTACTTATAAACTACTTTATCTTCTACATTATTTATTGCATCTACAATGTCCCTATCAGTGATTCAAGACTTCAAGTAAAACAAGTAAATAAATGTTTCAAGTGTACCGTAGCGAATAGGACATCTTTAGATTGGTGACGTGAAATTACGCGTACAGTCCCTTTAAATAATAGTTTTTATGTCCAGGTTGCAGTCCTGGAGGGGGTGCATCCAATATCTGGACAGTTATGTTCGGAGGAAACCTAGGTATTATTGATATTTAACTTTGTCAAGAGGTTTTAGGTTTTAGGTTTAGGAATCTGAGAGTGTACAGAAGGGTGGATGTCAGACCGCCATAGTCTTTTCTCCCACCCCTGAATTTACACTTAGCTCTTAATTTGGTTAATTCATTGGAACTTAAACGGAAGGGAACTCAAGTCTGAAATCTCAGATTGAAGGATTGGCAGTGATTATTATTATGATTAATGCAGATCTGTGAAAACACCTTTTTTCATTTTTAAATAAATTATACTTAAAAATAATTGTTAAAGATGGAATACAAAATTCTGTGCTTCAAGTCTTGGTTCAGATTTTTAAAATCTTTAAGAAGTATTTTAAAAAATTTATAAATTAGATTTGTCTGTGACAATGACGGCTGTTTCCACCTTCTCTGCTTTCTTCATGATGCCTATCTGGATGTTTGCGCTTGGTAATATGACTATTTTAATAAAAATATTATAATGAGTATTTTATATAAATATAAAAATTAAACAATTGCATGTCAACTTTGAAAATTTTCCCCAAATTAAACAGGGAAAATAGGAGTGTGGGGGGGTATTTTATTCCAGAAAATATAAACCCTTGAAGGTTTAGTTTTAACTTGATTTTATCCCAGGCGAGGTTATCATCGAAGACACGGATATTGTTGTACCGTACAGCAAGATTTTAACCTACGGTATTATGCTGATTGTACCACTAACCATAGGAATAGCAATCAAGAGGTAATTAGTAAACCTATTTTATCTTACTGAATTTTTTAAAGGATAAATCGAAATCTTGTTTTTAATAGTTCAAGATTATAACAATTTAACTGATTCTTTTTTGAACCAGCAAAAATTATGTTAAAAATTAGAAGCAACTTTCATTTTGTAATTTGCTTATCTATGAAAAACCAATTTTTTTAGCAAAACATTTCTATCATAATTTATAAGTTGCGTTTAGAACTGCTGGATACTGTCCAATGCCCATTGGGGTTTTCTCCATATTTTAACGACTATTATCAAAGGCCAGATTTGTTGACGGATGTGGAATTTCAATATTTTTGAATTCAGTGTTTCAAGACAGATTTGTTTAAACCCATAACGGTTATTTTGACGTAATTTTTTTTAATTGCTTTCTTAAGTTTATTATTAATCTAAGGGGGAAAATCAACTATCAATTAAAAACAATCGTAAAAATGATTAATTTTGAAATTATTTGTAAATACAATGTCAGGTTTTTGCCACGTGTCTCTGCCTTCATGGTGAAGATAATGAAACCAATGGCTCTGTTCCTTATCGTTTTCATTCTAGGTAAATTTTATATAATACAGGGTTATCCTACAAAGGATGAGACTGCAAGGACGATGTAAACTTAAAACCTGACGATTCCAAGTTGAAATTAAGTTTTCTGTCATGAATGTATTCTTCCAGTGGAATGACTTATCAAATGAAATAACAAAAAAAAAAGTTTACAACCTAGCCATAGGATACATACACTACAATACAAGAAAACGAACAGTATGGAATCTGTGCAGTTGTCTCTGTAGTCTCGTCCTTTATGCGTAACCCTAAAAAAAATATCAAAACCGTCTCCAAAGTCTTTCCCTAAATGTACGTGTCTTTTACTCGTCTTTTTAAAAAACTTGGCTTTTGATGTCCAATTTTTAATTCTTAAATCTTTTATAAATATAAACCCATATATTTTTCATTCAATCTTAATAGTAGGTTTTCAAATATTTTAGTTTGCGGTATTTGGTCCCAGTTCTTCATGATCCAGTTGATCAGCTGGAGGATTGCTTTGGTTGGGTTTGGTTTACCCTGGCTTGGCTTCGGTTTCGGTTGTCTCTTCTCAAAGCTCTGCAGGATCGTGAATATAACTTATCCAAGAAATGAACCATTAGTTTCTTTCACTGGTTAATTTTCTAATCGGACAGATTAGATTTTTGTATGAAGGACATGTATTTTTAACCATTATTTTAAATATTTGCAAATGTAGAAGGGAGAGAAAAGACATAATCGCCATTGCTGTCGAAACTGGAATTCAAAACACAGGTAAAAATTTATTTTTAGCCAAAAAGGTGGCTTTAAAGAAAAGCATGAAATATTTTAACTTGATATATGGCTAATTGAACCACTCTGTGCACACTTGTAGAGAGAAGTAGTTTAACTATCCGTACCTAGTACAACTACTCCCCGCTTCATTAATGAAGCCGACTTTTTATTTTATCTCTTGTTTTTACTGAATCTTTTAATCTTGTTTTGTCAAAAGAAGTTGGTGAATTTCAAATGACCAAACATATCTTTCGTTTATTAATGAAAAAATCTGTAAAAGATAATATTAAAATTTTTGTTTTGATTGATTAATTGATTGAATAAAGGAATGGCAATCTTTATGCTGTGGTTTACCCTGGACCATCCGGCTGGAGATCTTGCTGCTGTAGTTCCTGTAGCAGTTGCAACCCTTACTCCCTTCCCACTTCTAGCTGCTCTTCTTTACTACAAGTAAGTTGCGTAGCTTTTAGCAGCTGCTCTTTTTTTACTTCAAGTAGGTTACTTAACTTCTAGCAGATCTTCTTTACCACAAGCATGCTACTTTACACTAAACTCTTCTACACTACAAGTAGGTTACTTTACTTCTAGCTACTCTTTTTTACTACAAGTAAGTTGCTAGCTGGCTGTTCTTTTTTAATACAAGTAGGCTATAAACTTTACTTCTAGCTACTCTTCTTTGAAAGTAGGTTAATAAACTTCTATTTACTCTTCTTTTCCACAAGTAAGTTGCAAACTAGCTGCTCCTCTTTAATACAAGTAAGCTACTGTACTTCTATATACTCCTCTTTAATACAAGTAGGTTACTTTACTTCTGGCTGCTCTTCTTTACTACAAGTAAGTTACTTACTAGCTGCTCTTCTTCACTACAAGTAGGTTACTTTACTGCTCTTTTTTACTATTGGTACTATGTAGGTTACTTTAATTCTAGCTGCTCTTCTTTACTACAAGTTTGCTACTGAAACACCTAAATAAGATTTTATTGACAGGTTGCGCTCCATGTACTGCCCTTTGCTCAGAGAAGTTGAACTAGAGGAGATGAATAAGGACGGGTTTGAAACTACTCAGAGTCTCATGGGAGAGAAGGGATTGGAACCAAGCATCATCAAGAGTAAAGAAGATTCAAATCAGAATATTAAAGCATAACTTCAAGACGGCTTCAGACGTTTTAGTCATTTTAACATAAAGGGGATGGTGGAGTTGGCACATTTGATGTAGGGGGGGGGGCCCTGCCTTCATTTTTGGTTCAAATCTTCCAATTTTTTGGGTGCACGCCTAACTAGGGTTCGAAATTCCTATAATAAAATAAAATTGAACTATAATGACCTCTAATGACCTCTAATGACCTCTAATGACCTCCACAAATAGAAAATATTTCAACTATGGCTTAATGCATATCAAACGAAAGCTGGGAACCCAGGAAATCCAGTAGCAGCAACAAATCCAGTGTTTGACCTTCTAATGACCTCTTACGACCTCTAATGACCTAAAT